TATCATTACATGAAATTTAAATGAATTTCAAAATTCCTTTTTAAGATTGATGCTATGGTAATTGTACTTCTGGAGAAGCCATTTTTGTTCTCAATCATTACATATCCCCACTCCTTGCCGCAGACCTGTGTGTTGTTGTGTTAACTAGTTATGCCACGTTATATCAATTAAATTGCCGAAACTTTACACTAACGATTGCAGTATTTTATGAAAATATGTGATAACAGATTATTCATTGTAGTCCCAATGCCAAAGATTGTATATTGCCAAATTTTTTTAATCGATTTCCATTTGAAGGAACCAAATACATGACGATCAGACATTAATTAATGGCGAATACAGTATGCGAATATTATTCCTTTAGTTGCTATGCTACGCAGATTACGATGTGGAAAGGAGAGCATCTACCCCACTGGTTGAGGAATGAGGGCTTTACACTGCTACATCGCAATGTAGTTGGCGCAGCTAGGTAGGTACATGTTTGCCAAATACTTCCACGTGACAACAAGCTGCTCCGGTCTTACCTGGAGTTTGGGAGCTAATTGCTTTAGTTTTTCCTTGAGAATGACTTGCCATGCACACGGCTGAAAGACGTAAATGTCCATATACTCATCGGTGACCGGACTGTGATCCACTGGCCATGACACAAATGCGTTGTTCTCTCGCACGCTCTGTTGCTTTCTACGAAATGTGCCTATTGTTCGTACAAGGCTTTTATTTTAAACTCTGGAATCTGTCAACAACGCAGAGTTCCGAACGTTGTGGTCAGCATTAGCACTAAATTTCGGCACAGAGACCGTCTGTCTACACAAAGCTTTGATGTGAACTTCCACAATCCCAAGTAAATTTGAGGAGGTCGCTTTAGTAAATTCGGTCAGTACTCTTTCAGTCAGGAGCCGGGATAGCGTAGTCGGAATAGCGAATGGCTACAGGCTGGACGACCGAGGGGTCGGAGTTCGAGTCCCGGTAGGGTCAATATTTTTCTCAAAGTCGTCCAGACCGGCCATGGGTTCCAACTAACCCTCTATCCAATGGATTCTGGGGGCTTGTCCCTAGGGTTAAAGTGGTAGGGGCGTGAAACTGACCACCCACGGCCAACTAGTGCCGAGGTCAAGAAAATGTGGATCTATGCATCCACTTCCCCATACGCCTTCATGGCGTACTCCTTAATTAGTTAAGCACAGGGACAATTTTACCTTTTTTACCTTTACTGATTCATTCAACTTCCTTTCCAAATCACCTAATTATTCGACGATACATGACTTAAAGCGGTTGATGTGCATCGTTAAATAAGCAGTTAATCAGTCAGTCTCAGTGGATACCCAGTTTTCTTTTTTCGCAAATGTAACTAATAACCACGAATCTCTCCTTCTTTTGGGCGTCAGTTTGAAACAGCAGCGTCAGCGTTGGAATCAGCTGTTGGGATATATCTGTACAGTCCGTGCTTTTGTACTGAAATTTGAATCGTGTTTGATTTGGTCTATGATGCATTACATCAATGGTTCCCAATCTTTTTCATTTCGCAGGGCACTTGGACTTGGGGGGAACGGATTTATTGACACCTTATACAGAACTCGGGACTGCAGGAAGTACAGCGCTATCGCCATTCTACACAGTTTACAGTTCACTGTAACACACAGACACTAGTGTTCTCAGTCTTCATTTGTCGTATCCTGGAAACGGATTTATAACAGTCTCATTGTCACTTCAGATCACACATGAATTCTTCTTTTCACAACCTACTTCCCTTTGTGCCATTCTCCTGCAACTGCCAACTCAATTCCTCTACTCCCAAACTCATATCCCAGCAGGCTGGCGTTTCGAAACTCCATTCGACCATTTTTCTATGCTGCTGAATACTTCTTTGTAACCACTTTGCACAGACCATGTAGAAAGCACATCTTCTGTTGTTAATGAGGAGTGTTTACTGATCCGTTGCCTAACAATGGACACCATATTGTTGCGCTTGTTGGCTCCCGCGGGAATATGTTTACCGAGTCGTTGACTAGCAATAGATATACATGTCACAATATATATAAACTTAGATATTTGTGGATTTGTGTAAACTCGTAAATATGAAACTGAAAGTGACAGTGACAGATACAGACTGGGCTACGATCAGACCCGTCCTCTCATCAGAGAAGCCATTCCATGACGACAAATGGAGGCTCCACGCTTCATAATGCGCCTATTTAGAATATCAGAATCTGTAGTTTGATTACCACTGTCATATTTTATGCAATTATTTGTAAGTTGGTAGGCCTACTTACAATTCTTAGATACAAGTCCCTGGTATTCTTGTTCCTGATTTGTGTTTTTTTTCGGATATTCCCTGTTGTTCCTAAAATATCTCATGGGTTCTCGTTGTACATTCACATTATGTCCATTCATTTGGCTGTAATTCTGTAACCGCTGCAATTTAGCCTGCCTCGTTTGATCTAATACGTTTGAGAATTCTTCGTCAAATCATAGTTTATGCTGCTATCTGATGTTTTCATATTATCTTTAATAGTTTCCCAATTCCTACTGATATCAATATTATTATCCAACTTTTCCATTCATACTTCCTCCACAATTATTATTGTAAAGGAATGTTATGAACCAAATTCTGCAAAAAAAAATCTGATATAGCTGTCAACTCCAGTGTATGTACTTACGTGAGTAGCTGTCATGTTGCGAAGTGCTCGGCCCCTCCCACGCACAGGTAACTCTGAGCGTTCTCACTCAAGTACTGGGGGGAACGAATATCTGCACTCATCTTTCAGATGAGAGCGCCGACATTATGACGTGTCTCAGAACTTATCTCCATACCCTGCTCGCTCATAAATACGAAATGAATACAAATACTCCGTGCTGCACAGCCTCCAACCCAGCTCTGTTTACTTTCGCGCCGCAGTAATTCCATTTCCAGGCTTCATGGACCATCTACCTACCTAAGTAAGTACCAGCCTAACTCTATGAATCAGGTTTCACGGCCGTGGAAATTTTGGGGTATGGCACCGTATAGTCTCGCATGTGACTGCAGTAATTACAAAGGGATCTGCAATCCCCGTCGGCAGTCTTGACGATGCAGCACGCTCCACACAAACGTGGTAACGAAGACTACAGACTGCTGATGTAATCCTGCAGACAACCTGACTGCTCTCCCGGAGACTGTAGTAAAAAGAACTCGAAGGTTCAACAGTACATAGCTCAAGCGGTTAGTCGCCGGCTTCCCACCGCGGCGGCCCGGGTTCGATCCCGGGTCTGGTCAAGTGGGATTTGTGGTGGACAAAGTGGCGCTGGGGCAGGTTTACTCCGAGTACTTCGGTTTCCCCTGCCAATCTCCATTCCACCAATTGCTCCACAATCACCCTCACCTATCATCTGGGGCGGGTACAATAGGCCAGAAGTGGCCGCAGTACAAGGGACTTAGTCCCACCCCACTAGCAATAAAAAATACAGAAGACCGCAATTGGACACGGTCATGAGCCAGTTTCATGCACCTCAGATCCTCACAACCTCCCTCCCTAAAATCCATCTTAATATTATCATAACATATCCTTGATATTCTGAGTGGCTGTTTAGCAGCGTTGTGTATAAGTTCATACTGTCCCTCATAGCAGCCCTTTGTAGCCACTTCGATTTAACTTCTAGGCTTATTTGATGACCCACACGAATCACGATTTCACTTAATTCGTCTCTCTTGGGTCCAAATATTTCCTGAGCACTTTGTTTTAAAACACAATTTATGTTTTTCCTCATTTTTTATTGCTAGTGGGGTGGGAGTAAGTCCCTTGTACTGCGGTCACTTCTGGCCTATTGTACCAGCCCCAGATGAGGTGAGGGTGATTGTGGAGCAATTGGTGGAATGAAGATTGGCAGGGGAAACCGAAGTACTCGGAGAAAACCTGCCCCAGCGCCACTTTGTCCACCACAAATCCCACTTGACCATACCCTGGATCGAACCCGGGCCGCCGTGGTCCTTCGGTTTCCCCTGCCAATCTCCATTTCACCAAATTTGCCATCATCATAATCAACCGGGGAACTTACAACAGGCCAATCAGTTGCAGCAGTACCGAGTGGACCCAGCTGGACTCCACCCTCCACTACGAAAATTAAAAGTAGAGGTTGCAAAATGATCAGATCTTTTCAGCTGAATTCTACACATCCTCTATCCCGCATTGAGATCTCGCACACAAATTTTATACATTCCTTCACACAAACTGCTCAAAATTACCTCTGCCAGCTGGCGCGCAGCCTGGCCTTCGCAACGATGTCAAATGCAGTACATAACACGAACTGTTTGTTTAGGTCAGCAGGTAATGTCTGTCTCAGCTACCAGGATCCGATTGTTTAGGTCGTCGCAATCTTGAATGAAGTAACATAACCTTTAATCTAATTAATTATTAATATTATTATAATTTACCGTTGTATTAATTAATATAATTAATTTGTACTTATTTTGTACAGCTATGGAGAGAATAAATTAGGCACCGGGGGTAAAGCTACCGGGGCATGAAGCTAACCTCTCACCTCCAACTAGTGCAGAGGTCAAGAATACGTGGCTCTAACCTCCAATCCTTCATACGTCTTCATGGCATAACGCTTAATTAGTTAAACACAGGGACAAATTTACTTTCAGGGAAAGAGTAAAGACTCGTCTTCTCTCGTGTGTCTCGTGTCCTCCGTGCAGACGTCCTGAAACAGATTCGCCAATACTATAAAAGCGGAGAAGTCCTGTATTCGCGGTCAGTACACTGGAGGCGCGGGTGCCTCTGACCTGGATAGTATTATAAGCTGTAATGGTAAATATTAGTTTCCCAGAGGAGATGGTTTAAAAATATATTTTGTAACATTCTACTTTTTGTACAGTAAACAGTTGTTAGTCCCATGAAAACCAGCGAACCGAAGGAACATCTCGTCAGCTGTCTGCAACTGCTTAACATATACACAAGGAGCTCCTTCCTCTAGTATAATGTTACACCATATCAGGTCCTCAAGTATTAAATAAACATTCAAACATTTCATCTCATTTATTTCAAATAAGTGAATGCGAATTTATCTGAGAACATGTAAATCTACATAAAATTATTGACAAAATGTTTATGAACTGTAATGGCATTTATTTTCCACATTTGGCATTAATTTTCTGGGTGTGGATAGCACATGAGATGCAGTGTGTTTCATCTAATATTGCCATTCAATGAAAACATCTTTTATATATATGTATATTATAACAACAATCTGTAATACTTTTAAAACAGAACCTTATTTTATCACAAACTGAAATAACAGTTCTTATCGCAGCAGGTACCCTGAAAATACACACTGTTAAGTTTTTACTCTTCTTACTGTCTGAACATATGTAAAAAATCAAGTAATAAAAATTGAAATGCAATTTGAAAGCATTCAAAGAAAAATCTCTTTACCAGTAACATATATTGAAAAAACAATTAGCAGCACAAGTTGAAGACAAACAGGACAGATTCACTGATATGATTTCATATGCTTGTAAAGCACAACAGACCACTGTAGGTCATGGTGCAAGGGCCGAGAAGGCCCCTCATACATTCATTCATATGTTTATAACAATATTCATATCCACTTTCAAACAGGCAACCAAATTTTATTCAAGTGAACTGGATGCCAGCAATATTTCAACGTCTTCAGAACCAAAAGAAATTATTATGCACAAATAAAAGGGTAGATCAGTGAGATGCTGGGTTTCAATCAAGAGCAGAGACAACAAAATCACACACTTTTGGATGATTCTGTGCTTAAGAATTACAGGTTCCATTACACATGGGATTCCATGGTATTTATCATGAATGTTATCCTCCATATTGTAGATTCTGATATAAAACATCCAGTCTGACAGCACTAGTGAATTTCCCATGACAATACAAATAATCAATGTAGTAATCTGCTTCAAGCACAGATGCCTCTTTCAGAAATGTGGTACATAATATGTAGCCATACAAGATGCACCAGATGTTTCAATCTGTTTCCATGTCTCTCACATAGAAAACAAACAATTTTATAAAACTCTCATTTTACTGGATATTTATTTAAAAGTAATAACACTACATCCCATAAAACCAATCCTCTTGGATACATACTTATCACCCTTCAGCAGCAACTAAGGTCAGTCTGCACCATACACTTCATGCCTGCTACACGTTGTTTACCTTAAAATTACAAATCAGTAGTACAGGGCTACTTGTGCAAGCAATTTTATCAGCTCTCATGTGTATGTGTAACACAGTATAGAATAAAATAAACAATGTATTAGTTCATATACAAATGAATATATGTTTAAAAAATTAATTATTACAAATGAGCAAGCAAGAAAATAATTTTGACATGGTTTTATACTGACAATATATATTAAACTGTTCTGAGAAGCTATTTTAAAATATCTGACTGCAGTCAATTTCTTAGAAACCTTCCCATTACTATATGAGCACACACCTGGGGACATACACACACATGCTTTCATATGGGGGGGGGAAAGAAATCTGGGCCACCTTTAGTTCACTATGGGAAATTTTTAAAAGAATCGAATATTCTAATTTTTTATGAGACAAAACTAAGTTTATTATAACAGAAATGTACACTGTGGCTCAGTCCTGATTTATCTAACTCAAAAGTTTTCCTAAAAAAAACAGGGGATATTAGAACATATCAAAATACACAAATACTAATGTTTTCCATATACCAGTAAATAAACTGATTAACTTTTGGTTTATGTGATAATGCTAATGATAAATACAAAAAACAAAAATATGTGGAAAGAGCCAGTCATGGCCATTTTAAGGTAATATCCTGGCATTCACTTGAAGGGACTGAGAAAAGCCACAAAAAAAAAAAAAAAACTTCATCAAATGAGTTGGATACTGGGTAGAGTTTTGAATCCAGGACCTATAAAAATAAATCAGGAATGCTAACTGCCCAAATGTTACATTTTGTTGAAAAGCAGTAAAAACGTTTCGCAATCAGTGGTCAGAGTATGAACATAACATCTTATGGTCTACTTCTGACTTGTTTATTAATGAGAAGGATATTCATCAATGGCCATTACAATGTTTTAAATTAAACAAGCTGAATATAATTTCTTTCAAGCAAAGTACACATATGAACAGGAAAAAATGATCTTCACATTTTAAAACCATATACAGAAAAATGAATAATTCTAATGGGTGCACAAAAGGCTGCTGCCACCTAATCCTTGATGATACTTCAAAATAGTATTACTTGCATGCCCCTACAAGTATCTACATTAGAAATAAAAATGTAAATGCTAAAATATTTGGGGAGGGGGCATGAAGGAAGAGTAAATAATCTGTGCTACATTTTTGGTAGACCTACTTAACATAAACTGGCCAATTTCAATCAGTTCTCTCAGTAATTTACATATAAATGATCAATCCCCTGCTAAATCAAGAGCTGTAATTATGAAATGATTGGCTGCAAAGAAAGTAGTTAGCAAATGCTAATAATTTTAGCTTTTGACTTGAAATACCTGAACATATTTTGCTTCAGATAAGGACAGGACTGCAAAGAGAACAAGTACAGTCTTTCACACTCCCATGCTGTCAGTTACCAAGGTGGACAGAGGAAGATTCCACAGTTTAATTATATGTGTGGGACACTTAAGAAAGCCGTGTACATGAAAATAAGATAGGAACCACAAAAGATATCACTTTATGTGAAGTAATGGCAATATGAACATTCATATGTGAAAGTGACATATGGGTTGTGAGCAGAAAATTATGAGACAGGACTACATACAGTGGAAATGAAATTTCTCAATGTAGTAAATGGATATGAATGCAAGCCTATATAAAAATGTTTTCAGCCTCAGCACAAAAATATAACATCTTAATAAATAACCGAAATAACATATAAATGGAAGGCTATCAAATACCCAAACAGGCTTGTTAATACCACTCACGAGGAGAGAAAGAGTCTGGAAGACTAACAAATAGATGGTTGGACCAGACTTAGGACCTGATGGGACAAGATCTAAACTGTGTACTTGATGAAGATATTTACAATGGACACTGTCAGAAGACTGACATGATGAAATGACACATATGGATTAAAGGTTATCATATGGAAATCCTTACTCCTCTTTTTCTCACAGTTTATTCAAATATTACTATCATCATACACACCTGAAGGCCCCCATACTGGGCGTGGTGCCAATTTTTATGGAGCCGAAATTAGCCCTTTTGACAAACCAGGAGCTTTTTCTACCACACTCTTGATAGTTGTGACAGGACAAGAACTGTCCCAGACATACTCCAAAGATTAAATGACAGACTGAGTTGAGCTTCTCTAGTATCAACTGGTAAATACATTCTCTCTTTAAACAGTAAATTAATTACCATACGAGTTCACTATCACCAGTTCAATAAACTATTTCTCCTGTCATGTTCACCTGTTCTCTCCTTAGGATATTATAGAAAAATCCTGAGGGCCAGCTATTTTAATTTTAATACAGAATGTAAGGAGTACCAACAAATTATTATTATGCTGCTACATCAACTAACTGCAGGAACTGCACAAGACTAATGCTGAACATGCGAAGTGTGTGACATATGGGACTTTCTGTTTTTTACTGAATATCTCAAATTATTTATCCAAAAAGGAAGATTTGCTGTGGACAACTCAATGGAAAGACGGGGTACACACACACACACACAAAAATGAACAAAAACAAATTTCTCTTTAGTGCATAAACAGAAATGGTGGTGATGATCTAACAGAAGGCATAAGAGTGTCATACACATCTAAGCCCTGCAAACAATACAGAAACATTTTCAGTGCTTTCTACATTGTGTGCTGATATCTGCTGCATAATACCTTCACCTCATGTAATACTACTCATTGCAATGATTTTGCTGGAAGTTATTTTTCACTGCTTCCTGCACGTCACTGACCATGGATCAACTATATATTGCCAGGTTTCCTCAAACTCTCTGTAGTACCACAGAATGTTCTGCAATGTTGGAAGTTCTTCTTGTACAGAACAGTTCCTTGAAATCAAACTACTTACACATGACACTATTCTGTTTTAGGTATAAAATCAAGCATCAGCCTTCTGTTGGATCATCATCATCATGTTTGTCTATGCACTGTCACCAACTGAACTAAATAAAACCCCCGGCTTTCATCTGTGTTTTGGATTTTCCCAACCCTCAGTCTCATCCCCTCCAGAGAATTGTCTGCAACAAATAAGAGGAAATCTGGACAAAACACCATTACACATTTTCCTTTTCAAAAATTTCTATATACTACAAAATAAAAATCTTCTGGCCAGTAACCTCTCGAAACAATACCATAAGCTTCATTATTAAGAATTATCATTACTACCAGAGAACTTTATTGCTAATACCTGGATGTAACATTCTGCATTTTCATTACACATATATAGTCTCTCATTAAAACTTCATGAGAAAAAATAATACCTAATTTCAATGCAACAGACTGACAACATATCAAAATGCACTGAATCACTGTTTAATTCTTTGTCAAAAATGCCACATTACAGTTGAGTTTACTGTTGCATACCAACATTCTGAACAGACATGATAACTAAAATCTTGTATTCTGTTCTCCAATTCTGAATTTGAAGAATGGAAGAATAGAATCTGAGTAACAGTTCATACAATTACTAAACAAATGCATTACTCAGACACATGACAGATATATTTGTGTGTGTTGCCCTCATGCACAGAAACAAATATGAATGGCTGTGTGCGCACAATCTTTCCATGCAAACTAAAACGTTAATGCACAATTATTTACTGCATCATTGTATTCTTCCAAACCACATGTTTTTGCCTTCCATTTCTGTACAGCAGATTTGTGAATCAGGCTATTGACTACACACTAACGGACAAGAGTAGGGATGTCTGTTCATGACAGCTCATTACAGTGACTTGATTCATTATTATATGGCTAATAAAATGAAAGCATAATTCAGTACTTTCTTTTCTTGCTAACACTTAGGAAAGACCACTACTTGAAATAAGTTTATAAAAAATAAATCTTGTATAATACTTCCAGAATCACAATGCTGAAACTTCATTATAAAGAACAGAATGTGGCATAACATCAAATCTCTAATGCTTATGATTACGAACATTCATAACTGGCCAGATTATATAAAAACTTTTTACCAGCATGCTTAAAGTGGCCATAAAAGATGATACACTATCAGAGCCACAAACAAAATTAAGCATATCAAATTACCTGGCAATCTGAATCTATGTACATGTGTATGTAGAATGGAACAGAAAGGGGTGGACATCCATACTGTCCTTGAACCACAATCAATAAATGTTTATCCTGCTATCTTTATCTCACCATCAGCCCTGCACTCATTACCCAAACAGGATGTGATCTTTCAAGGGGCAGTGACCTGTTTCACATGTATGTATGTGTGTGTACACTTATAATTGGGGAAGGGGGAAAAAGGCCTCTTTACTCCAAACTTACAAAAGTTCTGAATGCCATCAAAGGAAAATTATAATTAAAAATATAAGAAGCTTAATTATATTACCAACAGTGTTGTAAAGTAACTCACAAAAAAATCATAATCATATCTGCAGCAATTGAGCTTTACAGCTTCAAGACACACAAATTCATGATACTGCAGTTCTAAGGTTCAGTGGTTTCTGATGATGTGTAACACTCAGGATCACTGAGTTTTTGGACTTTGTCCATCATGCTGCATTCCAAAGAACATAACACCTGAGGGTAGAAACAGATCCAGTTTCCAAAATGTTGCTCTTTAGAATACCTGATAATAAACAAAGTCCAAAAACTCAACAATCTTGATTGAGTCTGATTTTAATTTATAATAACTACAAGTGTAACTGAGAGCTAGTGATTCCAGTAAAATAGAGATTATACAGTTTGGAAAAGTTCTGCAACTGTCCTGGGTTTAGCTCCATGGTGTGGCAAATATTTCTGGAAGAAACATGAAGTGCTGGGTGACTTAATATGATTTAAACAATGCAAACATCATAAACTTGATTTTCAGTATATAAAATATCATGTTGGACTTGGTCCATTGCCATCAGAATCTTTATAAAGCGGGCCCATTAGGATGAGCTAGTCTTGATCAATAGGTTCTGTCATCCTACTCAGTTGATCCTAACTGCCCAGTGATCAAGGCTTCTCCTAATGGGCCCAACTGAATAGGCTCCTTTCCTTCTATTTATACCTCCGGATGGAAGTGGATCTAGCTTTTGAAACACAGTGTATTTTAAACATATTTAAGATGATGGACACTGTCTAACAGGAAATATATATATAATGAACAAACAACTGTCACAAACTTCAAGAGGATCATTAATTTCTTGTGTTTAAGTCATCAAAATCCCTGCACAGAAACATTTTTGACTGCAACTAAATTGACAGAATTTGAATCACAAATAAGGTGTAACCACAGTAAAAATAGCATAAATAGAAATATGTAATAACATAGGACTTAAAATGCAGTTTGTCATACCTCTGTGCTTCAGAATTTACTACCAGGCTTACAAGTACTGTTAACAGTAATGAATGTGCGAAATGTATCATCTAAATAATAAAATAATTGCAATTCAAGACCAGAAACACTGGAAAAATTGGAACATGAAAATGCAAGAAATAACACTGCCATTATTGCACGAAATGAAATTTACTCGATTCTCTGTGATGACACTGTTTAACAAACAAATTAAACGCATTATTCTTATATTCAAGTACACCATTGTGTTATTAAATATCATAAAATGTCATTAAGACAAACAATGATGTGCACTTAAGCACGAAAGACAAGTGGACAGTGTAGTGGTCTCCCCACAAATTAAAAAGTTGCCTGATGATCGCCCATATGTGGCCAAAACATGTTGCAATATTAGGAAAACATTATGTAAAACAAAAAGACATTTTTATGTGTTTCGATAGTCACTTTTAGATATACTTGCAGTGTCTTAATGACATTTTATGATATTTAATAACATTTTAAAGTATAAAGTTATACTTTTAGTGAAAAATATATTTTAGGTGTCCTATATATTTAAAAATCATTGGTGCATTATTGATGGTGTACTTGAATAATAATAATAAATCAATGCAACAGGATGCTAAAATATAAAATTAAACACATATTCCAAAGTATGAATAGCTTTAAATGCCTTGCAATGTGCCTAGGAAACTGTGTGGAATTCAATTTAATAGTGGTCATGTTTGTTTGTGGGCAAACTCATCACCCTAGTTACTTCCATGCAGAAAAGTCCTTGAGAACCTAGTGGTCACCTAGCTAATGAAGTCACTCCTTGCCGTTTATGGACCCCAAAGGTTCATTACCATTGCTACCTGCCTCGTGCTGTTCATTATCATATTCAAAAGAGCCTGCCACTGGGGCCTATTCTTAACCATTTGAATCTGGTCAACATGCTTGCAGCCTATTCACCTCAATACTATCCTCCCATCTGTGCCTCAATCTTCCAAGCTGTCTCTTCCTTTCAGCTTTCAGACTAAAAATTCTGAATGTATTTCTCAACTCCCCCATGCATGCTACATGTCCTAGTTATCACAGAAAGGATATAGCTGATAATATAGAATAGATATGGACAGCAGATGAAATTAACATCAATATATTTACTGCCCAAAATCTCAGCTGCCAACAAGGACAACACACAATAATCTATCTCAATACAGCTCACATGTCTGTAACTGATCACAATAATCTGTCTCAGTACAGCCCACATGTCTGCATACACAGACAACACACCAAGTCATTTCACTTACGAGCAATATACATGGCACTTCAACAGTGGAGAGAAACTAAAAGGCAATTCAAATTCCCAATGTGTGTCTACCTTTCAAACTTGAACTATCCTACTCAAAATGGACTGTAATATACGAAGACAGTCGGCATTATAGGTGAAAATTCCAGATTCACCGAGGATTCCAAACAAGTTTAAAAGTTTAAATTTACAACAGAAATACTGTCACAAAATAAAGTTGCAGCAATACTGATCTGTACGACTGCTTCAAGCTTCACTAATCCCCACCCCCCTGAAGTCCTATTATATCCAAAATCCATTCTTAATGTAAATTACGAATTACAATCTAACACTGCCTGATTTTAAACACGTTTACTGAGAAAATGCAAATCTTCAATCATCTTTCAATGTCTCTTTCATCAAATGTTGCTAAAATCACAAAATAGTTCAGTATCTGATACAGACTACATGGGAACACAACCCTTGCCATAAGAAATCCCTTCATCCCCTTGAGTGTTACACAAAGACTGCCTTCCAGTTAACTGGAATTGAAATTCAGAAGCAAGCATAGAGATTATCACACCTATATTCATTATTTCTTCCCCTCAGTGATCAAGTGTATTCAAATTCATCCACTGCTGCAGCCAAATTAGGTTAATTCAAATTATGTGGCCTCTATGTGTAAGTTGTATTTATTTCATGGTTTTCTAGAGTTATCCATAAGCTTCTATTAAAAGGTAAAGCTATCCCTGTAACAAGTCTTGAAGGTCCACAGAGTTGTGAGACATCAATGCTCCCATATTTTCTGTAGACAATCGGCTCACAGATGGCGGTAAGGTTGTCAGCCTTAGCCAGCTGCTCTTTACTCCCCCAGGAAGATTCCTGGTACTCATTTCTGTTGGAGGCTGAGTTGACTCCAGGGCCATAGTGCAGCTGGAAGGATTAGGTCAATTGAAAAATCCACCTCATTGGGACTTGAACCCGCAACTTTAGTGCCTCAACCAACCACGCTACAGCGTACCCCAAGGTTCTATTATTCTCTGTCTAAAACATCATCTATCAGGGTATGTCATACCATGAGTAGGCAATGTTACAGATGAAACATCCTATGTTCAACATCACCTCCAGTTTGGCAATTTTGTTTCCCCACTGTACATCAAAAAGAGACACCAGTGATTTTCTAATGATGATATAATATTCTATGCCGCAGCGCATCCTCAAATATGCTTTAGACAAGTAAATAATCCAGGAACAGTTTGATGTACATTACTTTATACTTTGGTCAGGATGTATTACAGAATACATATTTAAATCTACTGCATTTTCATCAACCTTGTGATGTGTCATGGCATCCATGAGATCTGAGCTGCCTTTTTAAAATGAAGATGTTTTCAAAGACCTTCATGAAATAGATTTCATTGTCAATTTTTGTGACAGTTACGACTGGTTCTGAACTTAAACCAGACTCCTCAGTAGAGCGAAGATGCAGGCCTTGGTGAAAATAATTTTACACTTCGGCAGCCAGTCCAGCATATACTTACACAGCCATGAAAAGATTAATGCTACTATTCCTGAGGATGTAGAACAGGAACACAATTCAATGCCAGTGTTTCCTGTCCCCAGCAAGTATGTGTAAAATATTCCTATGTGAATAGTTCTCACTTTCAGAATCACATTAATCTCTTTCATGCAGTTACTAATGAGAACTGTTAAAACATTACAATTGTTGATCACAGTTTTTAACACTGTTATTAAAAATAATTTAACAAGTAATCTCGATATCACCAAACACACGTAACACTTAAATAGCCATAAAAATATGCAACTTGTCAGTTGATTTACTTCGCATTCATTACTTTTATGTTTCTGTCCTTTTGCTTGTTGTAAACAGGAAGACAAGTAAAAATACAGTTATTAAAATGAATGTGAGAACTTATATAACATGGGGAAGCAAATACATACCAATTACCACCATTACTCTGACACAAGAGATTACATGATTAAACAAAGCATCTTTGTGACTATTCTTACAGTTGTCATACTTCCTCATGCTCTGTGAACAGCTGAATGCATTACATACTGTAAGGTAATGTTCTTATGCAAAACAAACCGTTTTAATATGTATCTTCACACCAGCATAGTGTTTCCAGGAATATACTATTATGGCTGTATTTCAAACGGTCTTACTGTATCCACATAATATCTGTTCTCTTAGCAACAGCAGGTGTCTCAAATATAAAACGTAAGTATACACTTGGTTGTCGACTTCCGACTGACTGACAGGTCATAAGTCGAACTGGTCGTATGTCAGCCATATTTTTATTAAAGATATTTTTTAACCTTTATAATCTTCTTATCATCTTTATTTTTAAAAACTTTTATATTTTAATCATCTTTTATTTTTCATTTTTTTGTGGTCATAAGTGCGGCCGGTCGTAAGTCGACGACCAAGCGTATTTTGCCGACATTATTAAAAAAAAAGATAAAAGCATATAGAAATGGCATTACTTCACCTACATGAATAACTCAGCTATAACAACAGAAATTTTGTAAACAGGAGCAAAATCTATGCTCAGTTTCTAATACAGTAAAATCTCCATTTCAAAGCTTCCCTTCGAACACGGGATTTCAATATTTCATACAGTGATACATACTGCAGAACACTTAAAATGAAGAAACAGTATATGGAGATTACAATGTATAACCAAACAATACAACATACAGTAAACTGCCTCAGTGGTATTTTCACATCTTTTCCATGATCCACTCTCTGTCCCCAGAACTTTCAGCTCAGTGTACAACTGTCTGTTACATTTTGATAGTTCTCTAAGATTTTAGCATGATACTGCATCATCCATCATGGCTTTCTGGAGGCAATAACAACGTATTTCATATCTGGGAGAACACAAACTGAATATGAAGTCACCACTGACTAGGCTAATATTAGATATAAGCAATACAGATAAAGAATATGCCACTAATTTGAAAAATGGAAATTCAACAACAGGACAGAACTATTCCAATCAGTTATTAAAAATATTTCTTACATATTCTTAAATTGCTTTTCATTTCTTTCAAAACTAAATAACCATGAATTGGTGATGTCATTACATATGTGCGTTACTTGTCAGACATCAACACATAACTCTAAATGCAAACTGCAAATAAAGCATCTGCAATGCTACAAAACAG